TCTGCCAGAGTGGCAGCCTGCTGAAGGGTAGTCACTTTCTGCTCATTCAGATAGACTACCGTACGCTCCGGTACACAGTGTTTAAACTCCTCTAACATCATTAGCTCGCACACTGAAGCAATGTCATCAGCTCTACACGCTCTACACCACCTGTCAAAGAGGGCTTTCTTCTCCCTCGCGAAGTCCACGTACGTTTGGCCAGAAGCTTTCTTCATGCCGCGAAAACGCTGCCTGTAGGCCTCAGGCACAAGCTCATATGCCCTGAGAATAGCACCTTTCACCTTCTCATACACCAAACTGTCCTCGACAGAAAGAGAAGAGCAAGCCGCTTGAGCCTTGCCGACTAGCTTGCACTGTAAAAGAATAGCCCACACGTCTTCTGGCCAGTGCAGAGCAGCAGCAATGCGCTCAAATGCACCAAAATAGACATCGACCTCTGATTCACGAAACACAGGGACCAAAGAAATATGCCTGCTCACGTCAAAGGAGGCAGCAGGACCAGAAGGTGTAACTGCAGAATCACCCATCCCAGCTGCTTGGAGCTCTAGCTGACGCATCCGGACAGCAGTGTCTGCCTCCAGCTCCTGCTTCCTGATCTCCAGCTCCAGCTCCTGCTTCCTGATCTCCAGCTCTTGCTCCTGCTTCCTGATCTCCAGCTCCCTCCTGAGCTGAAACTCTCGCTCACGCTCCTCCCTCTCACACTGGAGACGAGCCATACGCACTTTTACCCTGGCATCTAATTTAGACCCCGTAGGTGAGGATCCTGCCGAAAACGAGTCAAACTGAGGTGTGGTGAAAATGTTTGCCTGTTCCGTAGCACTCTGAACCACCGTGCCAGGAGATTCCACTAAAGCAGGCCGCCTCAAAACCCCCTGTTCAACTAGTCCAGTTATCAAAGTAGCCTTGAGTTCACTTTTTACCAGAGCCGAGGAGACAGAAACATGATAATGGTCAGCAACTAACCGCAAATCAACCTTCCTGCACCCGTCTAGCTGACCCACAGTAGGACTGGCCACAACCTGCTCCAACACAAAAACCATCCTCAGCAACGGCTACTTACAATATTATTATTTATTTATATACAAATTCCCCCAGATCCTGCCTACCAAACTTACCTAACTATCTTCTGGGGCGTGCCGGGCTCGAGGCGACTTTAAAAAAGGCAAACATCAGCAGCCGAAACCCTGAATCGCCTGCCCCCACCAGGGAATAAATCCCCACCCAGGATTACCCCGAAAATAAAAAAGGCAAAATAAAAAATGAGTGCCTGAAGGAAGGACTGATTCAGTCCAGCTAGACACTCCCCTCTCTAAACTGAGGAAGATGTTCAACAGTAAATACTTTCACAGCCAATTCTACACTTATATACACTACTGCTCACCACCAAACACAATATCAACACTAACCAACAACCAAATACTCACTCTTTGTCTCAAAGATTGGACGAGCCCCCATGTTACGTTCCCTTGTAGATCTAGGGGTACCAAGGGAAGTAGCGACACACAAGATAGCCGGACGAGAGAAAAAGGAGAGGAAACTGAATGCTGAAGGAGTTTAAGTGAGGTTTTAATTGGTAAATAAGTAAGGCGGCTCACCAGCCCAATTACAAAACACTCTTACAATAAACACACAACTATGCTGGGTCTCACACAGAGACATGCTGCACACATGCAGCCAGATGAGAAGGAGAGAAAAGGCCTCTCACTGCCGTCCTCCTCCGGTCCTATATGGAAGCCCTGATTGAGGATTGGGAGCACCTGGGGAGAGGCTGCACCTGGGGACAATCAGGCTGCACCTGGGGAGTCAGAGGGAGAAAAACAAACCCACAACCACACAAACACTACGGCACGTAACAGTGGAGGAGAGTCCTCTCCTGTCAGACTGAGAGGATCTTATAACGTCAGCTCAGTGAGGTATGGACTAGTGATGGCGAGATGAAGCCTTATGAAGCTTTGAAGCTTTCCAGCCAATTGGTTCGCAAAAGGGTTCATCTCATGAGGCTTCATCATGGGCTTCATTTGAACACAAACCCCCTGTTGGTCAAAGGGTGTAAAACAGGCAGATTGGACATCTCAACAGTGTGCTCTATCTCATACCGAGTTCCCATTGAGTAAAGCCTTAGAATACCTCTAAACAACGAACATTAAATCATATTTTCATGTTAACAATATTGTTTTTATTCCAGTTGAATGATTGTGATTGAAAAGCCTAAGGAGGCTGGTAAACATTGCAAAGAGGGATTTGTATTCCTTACTAATATTCATAAACGTAACCATGTTGTAGCCGGAGAAAGGCTAAACCATATCAAAGAATACATTTATTAACTACATTATCTCATTTAGCTGTAGCTTTTATAAACAACAAAAAAGACGTATTGACGAGTCGTTGAACCAGGGACCCTGCGATCGTGAGTCAACTGCTTTCCAGCTGAGCCACAGCACACACGCTAAATCTCCCTGAAAATACTGTAACATATTTATTCCTGTATTTATTCATTCATGTTTTTTTTCCTACATTTATTTATGCTTGTATTTATTTATACTTATGACATGTTCCGACCTCTATATAGGTGAGGTTTTGAGCTCTTTTAATTCCATCGTGTCACCGGGCCCGGGTACAGGAGGGGTAATATCGTTCTTATTATACATCCATGGGTATTATGAGCGTTGTGGTTCAACGGTTCAACCGATCTGAATCGCTTCGTGAAGCAGTCACGTGGTATCGACAGGCAGCGAGGCTTCGTTTGTCATCGATGACGTCACTGGCCCAAAACGATACAAGCCTCGATACATGCTTCACAAAAAGCTTCGGGGATTACTCGACACACGCTCCGAAGCCTCGGAGCAATACGTAACATCACTAGTATGGACTCTCTCAGTGTTTAGATAGTTCACTTTAGTGTAAGTTATCTCAGTGGGTCTCAAACGGTTTGGTCACCATTTATGTAAGTATTTTCGAGGAATACCTTTATATGATCATTATAGTTGTTAAAGAGAGAATAAATGAAAAACGGGTATGAAATACTATTGGACAGTAACACAAGAATACAGTTTAAAAGGGGAATGATTAGTAAAATATCCATAAAGAAAAAGTAAATCTGTGTACAGTTCTGTTTCATATGGATGCTGAGAGGTGTAGGCTATCCATAGATCTCTTCATTTTGCTCTCAAAGTGCACCAGATTGATGCATTTAACTTCAATATTTAAAAAAAAATCTTCCCGGGGCAGCATGCCCCCAGACCCTCCTAGAGGAGGTTAGGTCCACCCCCCACCTAAAACATGTTCACATGGATAGGATACTAAATACATTTGCACACTTTGTATATGGTGGCCTATGTCCATATCAAATCAAATCAAGTTTTATTTATATAGCACATTTTTCAACGATTTTTGGTCGAGCCAAAGTGCTGTACATATAATAAAAAATAACCTACAGTAAAGACACTTTACAACAAATACAACAGCACAGTTTGTGCAGAATATCAGTATGAGAAAACGACACCCTCTGTCCTTATATGTTTCTGTTTTGGTGGTCGTGCCATAACTGTGCATGTACAGTATGCACAAGTCATAGGTGTGCTATACAATAGCACTACACCCCTGCAATGTGTGTGAAAGACAATAGACTTTTCAGCATGTTTTTATAAATTGAAGTTGCGTTGGTGTTTGTGTGTTGGTTGTTGACGGCAGTGTGTGCCCCCCCCTTGGTAAATGATTGCCCCCCCATTCGATTTGTTCTAGAGCCGACCCTGACGCTGTATAAGCTCCGACCGTCCACAGTCACAACAACGGCCTATACAGACATAAATAAACCAGCGACTGTATTCGCCATGACACAGACAGTCTGTGGTTTGAACTTGTTTAACTTTTGTCTAGTTTCTGCTAACAGCTAACAGCTTATGTTGGTTTTGTGGTTCACATTATAGATGACGTCACGGCTCCGCCAGCTTGCATTTTGCATCTCATACCTGCTGGAGACTAAAAGCTACCTGATTGTCTAGTGCAGGGGTCTGTACCTGCGGCTCCGGAGCCGCATGCGGCTCTTTAAGCCCTCTACTCTGGCTCCCTTGAGTTTAGACAAAATAAGAAGGAAGTAAAATACAAATATTTGTAGGATTATTTATATTTTGTTGCATGGTTGAAAATGTTTCGTATCTTGTATTTTGAGGTGATACTGACACATAAATTAAAAAAAAAAAACGGTTTTAATTAGGTCAACTAAAATATGCGTCACACATCCTGCTACAGTCCCGCACCAGCGCCTTTTCTTGCAGGTGAATAACCTGACCCCCGGCTCGATGAGCGAACTCTGGATAAATCAAAGAAAAGAAAAGTATCGGAGGGACACAGAGGGTTTAATTCTGCGTGGACAGAGTTATCTGCTTTCACAGCAAACGATGCTGGCTTACCGGTATGTTTGATATGTGGAGAGAAGTTGTCAAAGGTGTTGCAGTATTTACGTGTTGGAGGAAAAACACGGAAGAGGAAGACAGCTAACGATGTTCAGTCATAATTCAATCACAACTGTTTTTAGGGTGCAGCTATAGGTTTTATTTATTTTAAAGTAGGGCTGTGTATTTTTTTTAATTCTCCTTATACGAGTTATTTGTTTATTATTAGAGGTAAACAGTTTTCTATAATGGAATAAATAATACATGCAAACAAACTGTAGCTTTTGTCTATAATATAAAAAGATATACAACGTTACAGGCTATCAAGCTATCAAATATGTTTTCCGTCTCCAGACAAAAAAAATTGGTGGAAAAGGGGGCAAAATGGCTCTTTTGGTCAAAAAGGTTGCAGACCCCTGGTCTAGTATGCTAGCATGAAGAACACAACTTAAAAAGAAAATCAGAGTAATTGAGTTTTTACTTTTAGAAGACCTTATCATTGACAGATACAGGCAGGAGATATTCCCAGATGAATACAAAAAAAGTATGATACAAGTGGATTTTTACTCTTTTAATGAAACATTAAGATTAATAAATAGTATGTCATGACATCAGTATGTACACTCATTTATGAACAGATACATTCTTGAGAGAAAGGAGGCCATGTTTTGAAACCCAGTGCAGATTGGTGGAGGCTGCTGCGGTGATCTGCTGAAACCATCTGAGCATCGAGTGTATAACATCACAGAGCATCTATTTACAAGCACATCATCACTTATTTACTTTACAAAATGATATCACTCACATTTCCATCAGTTGAATACATTGAAATACATTTTTTTAACAAAAATCTATTTTCAAAACCTCCTTGTAGATGGTATAGGTTTTCACATTTGGCCCATTAGCATCTTTCTATTACAGTTCGCACACCATCATGCAAGTCACCCATCAAAACGTTCCACTGAGCACCCATGCAATTCTTCATTTGAAACATTTGGTAAATCGATAAACAAGACAATATTTAAACATTAAAGATGTCACTGCATGTGTACACTGAACAGTTTTGGGGAACAATTCATGCCAAATGTAAATGTAAGCATTGATGGTAAAAAATCAAGTTAACTTCAGATGATTTCGATAATTTACCAAAGATGAACATTGCAAACATCACATACAAAAACACATTTCTAAACAAGTGACTGAATGAACAATTTGCTTTGTGTGTTTTATGATTGGATGCACAGATTAGCACATTGTCCTCGCAGAGCAGAAACAATGATGTAAGTTACGCAGGTTACTGATATCAGCACACCTGGTGGTGAATTGAAAAGCGGGTCACAAGTCTTAGAAAGCTGAGCAGACAACAATAATCACCAATCACTTTCCTTTTGTCTTAGGAACCAAACTTAGGCCCCGTCCACACGGAGACGGAAACGAACCAAAGTCGTTTTCAAAAAAGTCTTCCATCCACACGGAATCGGCTCAAGAAACGTGTCCGTCCACACAAAAACGCTGGAGACGCTGTAGTACATATGCCGGGCCTGTAAGTGGCGCTGTACTTCCGCCACAAAATACACCAAAAGCAGCGAATAAGAACCCCCGAGCATGGGCATAAGGCATAAACAAACACATGAATGTCCACTTGTTGCTGATGGTTGTGGTAGAGGAGCTGTAGATTTTGCACTAACATCTGTATGCGAAACGCATCAGCAATGACGCGGGAGAGGCGGGGCTATGGCGTCATCGTTTCAGGGAATGATAGGGCGTACACCCGGAGCCGCAAGCGTTTCGTCCTCAGACCTACCCACTTTGGGAGCCGTTATCAAAGTGTATCGGATTCGGGCTCCGAATCCGCGTTTCCGTTTCAGCCTCGTTCGGACTAACCGTCTGTCGATAGAGAACATTAGCGGATTCAACTGATATCGTCTCTGTGTGGACGGGGCCTTATACTTGTTAAAACATTTGTTACTTTATGATAACTGCTTAAACACTGATGTAAATTGTCCTTTCTTCTGAAGATTTCTCAAAATAGACCAGAGCCTGCAGCTTGAATGAGTATAATTACAAAATGTCGTGACGTAACAATGTCTTGAAAATGTTTGCATTGTGTATATTATCTAACAACCCTAAAATCGACCTGCAGTGTGGCTCCCATGAACCAGACTCCACTCTCGATTGGCCCTCTTTGGCAGCATCAACAAAGCATGGACTTGAATTTCCAAGATACAGGGCGTTCAGTATGTCACAACATCCATAACAGTATTTTTACATATTCACACGCTCACATCACAGAAAAAAACCTTTCAAAACATGACACCTGGCATACAATACACACTTTGAAATACTTCTATCTGCCTCTCTTATGCCCCTGCAAGCTCACGCACACACACGCACACGCACACAGTGCACTTCTGCCCCTCTGAAGGAGTACAGAGCAGTGCCACAAGTTCTACAGTGCTTTCCTTGTCATCCAGAGTATGAATACAATATAAGGCAATTGTAGACGTCTATTATATTGATTTATGTGAGGGTAGACGGGCAAGAATGCACCTATGTTCACATTTGGATCAATAAAAGCACTTTTGGCTGGTGTGTATTTTGCACTCCACCAGTCGAGCTTATGAAATGCTGCTGAGTGTGTTGATGAATACTTCAGGGCACTTGCTGAGACGATCCAACAAACAGAAATTGAAATTATATGAATGCAGGTTTACAAAGTGGATAGAGGCATGCAGCTTTTTGGTGATTACCACTTTTCTCCTCCTCTGTTTCTTTAGTCAAACAATTGCCTCGCTCATGTACAGAGCAGTTTTTTTTGTTGACAGGAATAATGACTTTAAGTCAATGTTTTTAACGCATGACTGACAGTGTTTCTAATTATATCAAGGCGTTTAGAAGCTGACTGTGGATTCCGTCCAGCCGTTCAAGCCGTCTCCCTTCAGGGTGCTGGCTGTTCGGCTTCGGGGCGGCTGGCTGTCTGTCAGGCCGAATAGACGTGCCGCTGCGCACCGGTACTTCCAGGACATGGTGTTGTAGAGGATGGGGTTGATAGCGGCGCTCAGGTAGAAGAGGACCACGGACACGAGGCTGCAGTACTCGGACACCACAGACAGCAGCGGGGACGGTGCGTCAAGGGAGCGAAACTGCAGGTAGCGACCCACATGGAACGGCAACCAGCAGAGGACAAAGGCAAGCACCACCACAACTGTGGGTGAGGGAGGATGAGAAGTAACGAGAGAGAGAGAGAGAGAGAGAGAGAGAGAGAGAGAGAGAGAGAGAGAGAGAGAGAGAGAGAGAGAGAGAGAGAGAGAGGTCTAATTAATACAAGATTATTACTTTATCAACAGTTGCAACCAAGATAAAATGTAGTTGTAAACTTTGCTTTTTCATCTTGTATACCAAGCTGCGTAATTTGCGCGCTCTCCAAACTTACCCAGCATCTTGATGGTCTGCCTGTTGCTTTTGTCTCGGTGTGCCACACGGGAGCTGATGGTTGTCTCTCTATGTCTCTGCCACAGCCGACGACCAATGAGGCTGTAGAGCACTGTGAGACAGAAGACCGGCATGAAGAAGAAAACAGAGCTCAGCCACACCATGGCCCCCATCAGGCCTGACTCCACTGCGAAGTGCGTGATCTTACACTCCCTTGTGTCCCCGGGCTCCAGGATGTAGCCAGTCTCATTCATTTCAGAGCTAAAATGTGGCGACATGTCACGCTCCACTCCCACCATGACAAACACGGGCCCTGCGCTCATTACAGACACTGTCCAGAGAACAAAAATGAGGGCACGAACCCGCCTCTTGGTAACCAGTGCCTTTGCGCGCAGTGGGAAGCAGATCGCCAGGTAGCGCTCCACTGACAGAGCAGTGATGCTCAGGATGGTGGAGTAAGTGCATGACTCCGAGACAAACTGAAAGAGCTTGCAGAGTGCGGCGCCAAAGCGCCAGGGCCTGTACCTCCACATACGGTAGAGGTCCAGTGGCATGCAGAGGAAGATGAGAAGGTCTGACAAGGCCATGCTACACAGGTACAGGTTGGTGGTGGTGCGCATATCCCGGTACATACTGACCACCAACATTGTCATGACATTCCCTGTCACCCCGACCAGAAACAGGAGCGTGCAGGCGATGGTGATGCCCGTGAGCAGGGGAATAGAGTAATAATTGAGAGGAGGCAGCTCAGCGGTTCTTGTTGCGTTGATGGTCTCCTCCCAGCAGCAGTTATGGGAGAGGAACTCCGAGAGATTGGGCCAAGAGGGCATGCTGTCAGTGCGGTTATTTACGGGGCCGTGCCTGGCCCTGACTGCTGCAGGCACCCCGGGTCTGGGACTCCTCACAACCCTTGGTGCTGCCCTTTAATCCCATCATCAACATTTGAGCTGCGGAATATAATGTCAAAGGTTGGCAGCCATGCGTAAAAACAAGATCCTTGCGCACGTTGAAAAGAGGTTTGGCTCACAATACTTAGCGGACAAAGAACTTCAGAGATCATCCAGGGAGCAGATAGTCCTGTCCAGAGTCTGAAACAAACATGAGGCTCTAGGTCGATATTAATGATCCACAACTACAATGTCTGGAGCAGAGAGGCAGGTGCAAAACTAATTTTAAAAGTGTGTAAACTACACATCACCAACCACAATTCATGCGGAGGTGTATTGTAAGCTAAACAGCTGCAGCCGTAAAACTTCAGCCCAAACATCTATTATCTAAAAAAGAAAACAAGTGATCTCCTGTGTCCTTTCCTTCAGTGACTACAGCAGCTGAGCGCTTTAGGAAAAATGAAACATGAGAATCCTGTTTGCAGTTCCACAGAGTTCCCATCACCAGCAGCGTGTCCTTTTTTTGCGCGTCAGACAAAACAAAACAGTGAATCTGTGGATGTCTTGCACCCGGCAGCATGTGACGGTGAGTCAGAGGCAGGTCCTCATGATGCGGCAGAAGCAGCTGTGAACATCTGTCCATGAAAAGGGCACCGGAGCTCAAACACAAACGGATAAACAACAACCACGGAGAAAACAAATAATGTATCACGGAGCGGAGAGAGTTTTGTAGTCACAAAAACAAAGAATGAACGACGCCTTGTCAACATAATCATGCAAATAGAAGTTGAAATGATCAAAGTAGAGTTAAGTTTAAAAAGGCAAAGAAATCCCCTCTGGCTTTTCAAATCTGCTCCTCTATGTATACTGCTTATCCAGTGTGTGAGTCCAGATTCCTAGTGAGCAAAACATCCTACAGGTGAAGTGGTGCTGCCCAAGTGAGGGTGATGTGGAAGTCCGCATTGAGCCCAGTGCTGCAACGCCACCTGCAGGTACTTTAGGGCAGGGATGACAAGGGGTTAATGCTCACCAGCACCAGACAATGTGTTTAACACCTTCCTTCCAGAGAGCATCTAGGGAAACAGGAGACACTTTTCAGAAAACTCTCCCAAATGTGAGTCTTTTTTATTAGCATGACATCCAATGACCACCTGGTCCAAAAGTGGGGCTTCACAGCTGATCCTTCAAGGTGGGGAGTGAAAAATACACTTTCCCCAAAGAGAGCAATTTAGTCATCGTTGTAAAAATGATAAGATTCTATCTGGCTTTTGCTTCTAAAATTGATTTGTATATTATTATTATTATGTTTTCTTTTTAACCCTCCTGTTGTCTTCGTCCCCCCCCCCCTTACTTTGGTGTTCGCAGTCAAATTTGACCGGTCCTGTTTTAACTGCTATTACATTAACACAAAAACCATTAATCATCACCAAATTTAATTTAACAACCTTTTTCAAACTGTAAATATTGTATCAGAATACTGGTATACATGGAAAACTGCAGTAAATATACAAAGAATAGACACTGAACATGTATTGCGTGTGCCAGGTGTGATCCATGTGGGGGGATGGGCACATAAGAGCGGGAAATGTGTCAAATTGTTCTGTGTGTGTGTGTGTGTGTGTGTGTGTGTGTGTGTGTGTGTGTGTGTGTGTGTGTGTGTGTGTGTGTGTGTGTGTGTGTGTGTGTTGTGTGTGTGTGTGTTGTGTGTGTGTTTAATTCCTTTTCTTTATGGCGGTCATTTTTGACCGGGAACACCATGGGTGTTACAAAGTTGACTAAATCATCCAAAATTCAATGAAAGTGGTGGTCAGTAATTGTATGTGTTCAAATGTCTACTGGGAAGGATATCATAAAGCCTTAATGCAATTGAATGTAAAACAAAAAAGTTATGATTGATGAAATTAGTAAATCGGTCAGATTTGACCCGAAGACAACAGGAGGGTTAAAGAGCCCTTTGGTGTAACGCTTAGAAAGTACAGGTTGTTTCCCAGTGGGATTTAATCTATGATGCTTTATATGTAAGAGCTGGACCCTTTTTTTCACCCCAATGAAAATCCAAAAATAAATGTGCCCTTTGTGGTATGAGAACAGAAACCATGACGATATCAAATCCTGCCTGCTGTGCTGTATAGCTTTATTTGCAAAGAACATTGAATACAGTTGTATTCAGACAAACTGCTATATATTCACAGTATGGAGTACAGTAATATTTCAGCCACAAACAGTTGCATAATGTATCATAAGGTCATAGAAGAGTTAGTAACTTACTAAACTACCACCAGAATATAAACATCACCCTCCAATATCTAGCAAGATAGTTGGCTGATTTGTCAAAGGCAGCACTCTAACAGAAATAGTACTTTTATAGGTTTGTCTAAAGGCTCTCTGCCAAACTTCATACCATAGGGTTTAAACTGGATGTTCATGTATTTTTATACTGATTAATAATCATTGTTGCTGACATTATTAAAATCTTTAAAAAATACATTCAGATACACTAAGTGCGTGCAGAAAGTAAATGAATATTGTCCCATTAAATTACGATATCTCTAACAAAAAGTTAACATCTTGTTTCTTATTATGTTCCTAATCTTTGAGTAAATGTATTTAAATATGAGAAATAAGGTTAATCTCATTAAATGTCAATTGTACTAGTCAGAGACAGGCAGCAGATACTGATACTTTAAAGTTACCTCTTACAAAATGTGACGTTTCTCCTCCATTTTGATTGAACTTTTTGGTATGGTATAAAACAACTTAATTATAAATATAAATAACAGGAACCAGGTAAAAGTGGGTAAATTATTCAGCCATGGCTATTTCTCCAAGTATCTTCAACCAGCTAGAAAGCAGTCATTGTATGATAAGATGTCAAAAGGTCTGATTTAAGTCTTAACTCAACAGGAAATGTAGTTGTTTGAAATCCTGCTATCGTAACAAAGTCGATAAAACTGTGGGTATAAGACTGTAAGATTCATAAACCTTGTTACTGTTATTTCTTAATGGCTGAATTAACCACTTGCTGGAGTCCTTACAAGTGAAGAAAACAAACCATTTCAATCTACAGGTCGGTGTTAATATCTTCTAAATTACAGTAATGCCATATATTTTTACTGAAGTGATGTGATCCTCATTCATGCTTAACATATTGTTATCTATTGCCCTTTGCGCTGTGTTTATGGGCAGATACCATTATGTTTATGACCTCTGCATCATGACGTGGGTGTGTCAGAGAGAGAGATAGAGAGAGAGAGAGAGACAAACAGATAAATAGAGAAAGAGAGAACCGGAGATCCTAATAGTGGGAGAAAAAAAACGACAAGCGGGACACTTGTCAAAGCTTCTGTGAGACCTTTTCATCACGTCTGGTATGTATCTGGCTGTCATACAACATGTAATGTGCCTCCTGACTGTAATGTGTGTGAGTGAGTGTGTATTTGGCATGTGTATATTTGATGTTCAGGAGAAACATGAACCTTTGACACCTGTATTATGTAACTAACTATTGGCAAACCTAGTGGGACAACAACAGTAGGAGTTTAATGCCATTTAAAATAGGCACACATGTAGTGTTAATCTGTGACTCTTTTTGGATTGAAAGGCGCAGCTATGACAAATATAATCATTACACCCATACAGATGTAATAATTAGGCAATGAGGATCACTGATTAAGACGTCTGGATTCGACTTAATGAAGTGTAATTATGAACCAATAACCAAAACATTTCAATGATACTAGATAATAGTCAAACAAGCTCGAGTTAATGTATTACTTACATAGACGAAATTGCAAAATTGTACACTTTCTGGGACAACAGGAGGTAATAACAGCAACATTTTGTATTTCCACAGAAATGTCACAGATGTATTTATCAGGAGAGCTTTTTCTGCTTGGTCTTTTTCCGGCTGTAAACTGTGTCTTGTATGTTTGATGGTTTCATCCTTGATTTCTGTCTTTTTATCTCTCTTTATATCACTGCATTTTCTGTACTAGCATTACATTTGGTATGGTGTCAGTCCTATTTCTCTGTGGTTCCTGTGTACGTGCTTCAGGAGTGTGTCTGGTAAAGTATGTTTTTGGTGTCATGTTGTCTGAACTCTGCTTCCAGGATGTGTTAGTATTGCCCAGGGTAAAGTCCCTTCCTGTCCGTCATAGGGAAGAACACACCATTTGGCAGCTGTAACGGTTTGGTCTTTGGGGGGTGCAGTACACCTCTTCCACCACAAGATGGAGGAAGAGATGTAATGTTCCTGCTTGAACCTGTGAATGTGCATGAGTGTTTGTGATTGGCAGCAAGACTAATGAATGGTGTTTCACTACAAGTGTGATATGAGTGTATATTTCATTAGATCAAAGCGCATTCATCTGAAATATTCATTAATATGGGTACACACAACTTCATCTAAGTTTTGCCGTTATTGTTTGTTGTTATTGTAAAATAAAATAAATGCGTAGGCTATATGGGCTTAAAAAAATAAGGCCATATAATATTTGTTATGTTTTATTTTACAACCTTATCATAAAATAAGATAAGTGTTAAATAGTTGTATTGCTTGGTGTGCAGATCAACAATAAAAGGCTCATCATACATGCATGCAGACATACAAATGTTATGGAGGACAGAAAAAAGCCAGATAAACAAACAATGGCCAAATGATAACATACAGGGAGAGTGAGAAAGTAACAGTGTGTGAAATTATGAGATAATAGGCAGGGGGGGCAGTGTCATTATTTTCTACCCAGAGGTCTCCTCCTACTTCACTAAAACTCCAGAACTTGTTTACAACCAATGAGAGAAGTGTGTGGGAAGAACCCGCGTCTGTGATTGGTCTAGACTAGTTTCATAGAACCCTCCCTTCCTGAGGAGTTGGAGCGAGTTCAATGTTAGTTTTTCTCAGCCGCTCTGCCTGAGTTACAGAGGGGAAGGAGCTCAGGACTAGCTGTGTGTTCATCGGTATCTGCTCTTCTTCAGAGAGAGTCTCTTAGTGGTCCATTCAGAAAGAGGATTGACCAGACAAGGCACCATGTGGGCTGCATGTCCACAGAAAGAGCAGGTTGGTAATGTCTCCCTCTCAGTTTTTGTCTGACGGTTCTATTTTCGACCATGGGCTGTCGGAGATATATAGTGTCTCTGTGACACTGTTTGGGTCTGGTCTGTCAGTGGGATCATGGAGAAGAATTTACAGTATGTGCAAGTGTGCCTTTATTCTTCCTGCGCATGTAAGTTTGCATCAAGGTGATGAGGGCAGTCCTTCATCTTTATCTGCATAGCAAACATGTATACTGTTAATCCT